TGACCCTCCGACAATGCGGCACTCCCTCAGTACTGACCCTCCGACAGTGCGGCACTCCCTCAGCACTGACCCTCCGACAGTACGGCACTCCCTCAGCACTGACCCTCCAACAGTGCCCACTCCCTCAGCACTGACCCTCCGACAGTGTGGCACTCCCTCAGTACTGACCCTCCGACAGTGCGGCACTCCCTCAGTACTGACCCTCCGACAGTGCAGCACCCCCTCAGACCCACTGTTGTGCAGCACCCTGTCAGTTTTCTGACAGCTCGTGCTCCCTCAATACTCACAAACTAATTCATTTAATTAAATAATAGTAGTTAGAAATAGTGCTTAGTATTTGTTACTTTGTGGATCAGGGCTTTTGTAAGTCAGTGATGTGACTTCCACATTGCCAGACATCCCCTGTCTCGGGTGTTTTTTTTTTGAAATCAATAACTCTGCTTATCTTTTCTCTCTCTTTGCAAGTTTCCGAAAGAAGAGAAAGGAAGTTCTCGGTGAACTTATCTGATATGGTGTGGGAGCTGAGAGTGAAGTAGAGCCAGGTCTGATGGACATCTGACTGGCGCCACTGTGACATCACATTAGTTTACAATCTGAGATAATTGGCACATCTACTTGGCTGAAAATAAACTGCTGAAAATCACTACAATAGACAAATATCTCCTGTGGTTGACTGGAGCTAATCATTTTCTCAGTTCCAGGGCTCTACCCTCTCCCTGTTGTTTTATACACCTGAATTTTTTGTGTACACCAGGACATGAGACCTGGTCTTTTCTTTCCACTAAACTGGGAACCATTGTAATCCTTTGTGCCCTTTCTTTTCTGAGCTTTGCTTTTTCATTTTTCTTCCCCATTTCTGGGCAGTGGTTTGCGCAGTCACTCACTGCTTTGTCATGATCCCAGCTGATGTTACGACACTGTCGGAGGGTCAGTGCTGAGGGAGTGCAGCACTGTCGGAGGGTCAGTGCTGAGGGAGTGCAGCACTGTCAGAGGGTCAGTACTGAGGGAGTGCTGCACTGTTGGAGGGTCAGTACGGGGGATGACAGTCCTGGAGGAAGAGGAGGTCCCTGCTCTTTCCCATCTCAGCTACCAGGTCCCTGCCCACAAAGCAGGTGCAAATTTACCCATATCTGCCGATGTGTCACAAACTGTGCAGGGCAATACCAGACCGACAGTGCTTCTCCACGCATGCAACGACCTTTAAAGATGGCACAAGCACGAGGGACGCCGGACTATTTCAAGATGTCCAGCAAGCGATGAATTCTACCGGGTACAACTGATATTGGATTCAGGCTGGCATCAGATGTGAGGGGCACCGTAGGGGCTGCCAGTTAATGAATTAAGTTTGGGACAATCATGTGAGAAGTATGAATATATAGTATTCAGTTTCAATTGTGTCCATTTGTCCCAAAGAATTCTGAATGATCAGACTTCGAAGCAAATTGAACCTCACAATTTGCAGGATTGATGTTTCTTATAGGTTAACTTGCCCTCATTTCACTTGGTGCAGTGTAGCCTTCCTGTTTGAAGCTGTTGGATTTTAGGGCAGGAGGAGGTGACAGCTAAAAGAGCAAAGAGATTTATTCAGAAGCAACACAAAGAAAGTTTCTTATTCTTTTATTGGCATTATATTGCGAGTAAATCCATCTGCCATCACCTAGTAATCTTCCTTATTCGTCATTATTTAATTATTTTGTATTTATCATATTGCTTATTTTTTATTTATATTTATAAATATTAATTATTCATTTTTGTAAATATTTACTATTAACTTTTACTTCACCCTTTTACATACCAACCATAGAATCTCTTTCCTGCTTTGGAACCAAGCCTATATCCCTCCACTCCCAACTGAGCCTACCCTGTTTGTTTTGCAAGAAGTTCAGGACCCTGGAGCAACCTTAGAATGATGTCCTGGAGATGCGAATCACTGAGAATAAATAGTACAATGTGGATGAAGTTAGAACACTCTGGACTGGAGGACTCACCCGAACACAACAACATAAATACACAGAAAAGAAAGATTAATTTGCACCTAATTTAACTCTATGCTCAGAGACAAAGGAATCTTTAATTACTATGTATGACAATATTTAGAATTAGTGTGTTACAAATAGCTCTACTTTGGATCTAAATCTGAAAACAGTTCTTGACTTTGTCTTCTCTTTAACCACTTTGTCTTGAACCCAAACTCATCATCTGGCATCAAACCACATGATAAACTAGATCTCATATTCATGCTGTCAGTGATAGTCTATTTTATACAAATGACTTTCTTTGGAAACAATGGAAGGGAATTTTTTTTTTCAAAATCATCCTAGACCCTAGGCTGAAAACAATTGTATAATATTTACTGGTTGGGTTGCAGCAACAAAAAGCCATTGCTTGCTAAGCACCTGCCATTTAAGTCTACTTCCAATGTGGGTTTTCTAAATTCTTTCCAAGGAATGTGAGTGTCACTGGCTAGGCTGCAAGAGTTGCTCAATCCCGATTGCCCTTGAGGAGGTGGAAGTGAACACTCTGCTTAACTGATGAATGTGAATATGTGAACAAAGAGCTGTAGTTGATCATTCAGCCCTTGGAACCTGTCTGCCATTGAATACAATCATGGTTGATCAATGAACCTTAGCAAAACTGGAATTAATGGAAATCAGGGGAAGACCCCTTTGCTGGTTGAAGTCATATAGGAAAATGGCTGTGGTTGGTGGTGGTCAGTCCTCTCAGCTCCAGGACATCTGTGCAGGACTTCCTCAGACCTAAACCCAACTGTTTCCAGTTGCTTTATCAATGATCTTCCCTCCATCATAACATCAGAGGTGGGGATGCTCGCTAATGACTGCACAAAGTCCAGAACCATTCATTACTCCTTATGACCATGTCCAGATTTGGGCTGACAAATGGCAAGTACAAACATTGCATAAGTGCCAGAAAATGGCCATCTCCAACAAGAGAGAATCCAACCATTGGTCCTTGACATTCAATGGAGTTACCATCACTGAATTCTCCACGACCAACATCCAGGGGGTTTGCCACTGGCCAGAAACTGAACTGAAACAGCCACATAAATACAGTTGCTACTGTAAAATCTATTTTAATTTTGTTTTAGACTGTGGGCTGAGAAAAGCTACTGCCTTGAACCAAGGAAATAGTGTAAGAAGTGTTTGCAGTTTTAAAACAAGCTACTGGAACACATGTGAGTTCTATCTAGAGCAGTGCTTTATTGAAGCAGTGAGAAAGAGCTCCAGACAAATTGGCAATAATTGTGCATGGTCAGGGCCACAGACCATCTCTTGATTTTCAATTTGCACCAGTTGTTGTATGTTCAGGAGAGCCTAGCAGAGTAGCTCCCCCTTGACTGGTGCGTGGACAGGAGCCTGCAAAGAGAAGGCAGCTGTCCCTGTTTCTCCATTCCATGTGGAGAACTAACAGAAAATCCTGAGAAGCTATCTGTTGCCCTTCACGTTCCCTCTGCAAGCTGATCTCACTGCAAATCCCCTGTTGAAAAGGAAAAGAGAAAACCTTCTTCAAAGCCTCTGAGCAGTGAATCCTCAACCCAGAATGAAATACTGAGATTTGGTCTTATCAACAAAGAGTCAGAAGGAATCAAAAGGAGCTGAAAGAAAACAACCCATTGATGTCGGTCTAGACTGGTGCTATCAAACTGTGTATCCCCGATTTTATTTCTCCACCTATAATATTCGTGTCTTGTCCATATTTTTATATCTGTTGCTGTGTGGGGGGTTTTAAAAGGGCTAAAGTTTTAAGTGATACAGTTATAGATTAGCAATTCAACTTGTCAACTTTTTGCCATTGGTTCAAAACAGTTTGATTCAATAAATTTGATTTCTGAAGGATGGTCCCGACCCGAAACGTCAACTTTCCTGTTCTTCTGATGCTGCCTGACCTGCTGTCTTCTTCAAGCTCCACAATGTGTTATCTCTGACTCCAGCATCTGCAGTTCTTGCTATCTCTCTTGATTCGATAAATAGTTATTCAATTGAAAATGGAATAAACCTGATGTGTGTATTCTTTTAACATGAGTTATAGACAATTCAGTAGAATTAGGGTAATTTGTTGGTTTAATTAAATTTTCACATTTGTGAAATTAGTGGGAATGAATTTTCAGCACTTTGCAACGGTGGTTTGTGATACTAAAGGAGCAGCTCAGAGGCTGGGAATCCTGCTGCGAGTAACTCATCTCCTGACTTCCCAAAGCCTGACAACCATCTACAAGGCACAAGTCAGGAGTATGACAGAATACTCCCCACTCACCTGGATGGGTGCAACATTCAAGAAGCTCAAGACCATCCAGGACAAAGTAGCCCTTCTTGATTGTCACCACATCCACAAATATTTATTCCTTCCACCAGTAAGAGCAGTGTGTACTAACTACAGGACGGACTATAGAAATTCATCATGGCACCTCCGACAGCATGTTTCAAACCCATGACTTCTACCATCTAGAAGGGCAGGGGCAGCAGATTCATAGGAACACCACCATCTACAAGTTTCCGTCCAAGCCATGTACCATCCTGAGTTGAAATATATCACTGTTCCTTCATTGTCATTGAGTCTAAGTTCTGAAATTCTCTCCCTAGTGGCATTCTGTGTGTACCTGCAGCATATGGAGTGCAGTGGCTGTAAAAGGCAGCACACTACCACTTTCTCAAGGGCAACTAAGGGTAGGTAATAAGTGCAGGTCCAGCTAGCAATGCCCACATCCCATGAAAGAGTTGGGAAAAATAGACTCATGACCTTCTGTGAGAAAAAATTTCATCTCATCACTGTTTTAAACAAGTGGCCCATTATTTTTGAACAGTGATCCCTAGTTCTAGATTCCTCATAAATGGAAACATCTTCTCCACAGTTACCCTGCCAGGACCCATTAAAAACTTGTATGTTCATATCAAGGTACCTCTTACTTTTCTAAACTCCTGTGGATATAAGCTCAACCTGTCCAGCATTTCCTCATAAGACAATCTACCCATTGGAAGTATCTGATAAAGGTTCTCTGAACCATTTCCAAAATATTTACATCTTTCCTAAAATAAGGTGATCAATGCTGTGCACAATACTCCAGAAGTGGTCTCACCAGTGCTTTGTGTAACTGAAGCATGGCCTCCTAACCATTGGAGTCCACTTGGATCCATTCACTTAACCCTTTCTTGGTGGGAGATAGAGAGATTTGACAGTGGGGTCGACTCTGGATCAGTCCCCCAGAGTAACCTGAAGCACCTTTTGTATCTAAAGCCATATACACATATAGGCTATGTGTACCTCCCTGTCGTATTGAGTTCAGTTTCAGTCAATGTACAATCATCGAACACTTTTCTTTTATTCAGTTGTGGGGTGTGGATGTTGCTGGCCGGGCAAGTATTTATTGCCCATCACTAGTGGCCCTTGAGAAGGTGGTGTTGAGCTGTTTTCTTGAACCGCTGTAGTCTAAGTGCTGTAGGTAAATCCACAATACCCTTAGGGAGGGAATTCCAGGACTTTCACCCAGCAACACTGAAGGAACGGTGATATATTTCCAAGTGAAGATGATGAATATCTTGGAAGAGAACTTGCAGGGGGTGGTGTTCCCATGTATCTGCTGCCCTTGTCCTTCCCGATGGAAGTGGTTGTGGGTTTGGAAGGT